TGAAGGCCAAGAACAGTGGCAAGACGTGCAAGAAAACTATGAACGGTACATGTATTCAAAGCATAAGCAAAAAGTAAAATCAACGCATTCAGATGTATGATTCACAAATTAAATGTTTGAGCAAGGCAGTAATAACAAGAAATTCTAGAAAAGATCAAGAACTGGAACAAGAAGAAAACAGTTGCTTACCAGAAAATATGAAGCCGATGTAAAGATCGTCGAAGTCAGACGACGGTCGTGGAGGCAACGAAATGGTGCAAAACACGCCGAAAGTGGTGAGCGGAATAAGTTTTAGAGCAAGGAAGCTTGAACAATGGCGGACTCGAGAAGAGAAAATTAGAGAGAAAAAGTTTTCCAAAAACAAGAATAAAGTGAAAGGGAAAAATCGAAGAGGTGTTTTGTTAAAAATAAAAACGGCGGCAAAAAGTAATCAATACGCCTGGAAGAATGTATGCATCAGACGGCGCACGTGAGAGGGAGAGACGGCTTACGGGCGCGTCACAGGTACGAACCAGTAAGAAAGAAACGCGTGGCTAAAAATGGTTGAATTATGGTGTATGACAACTCATACGCGTGAAAGGGTTCTTGAAATTCTTGTTCTTCAGCAAAGACATGTCGGCCAAAATAATGATCTCGGTTGAGATACTGAAAATCGACGTACTGGAAAACGGAATGATGTAGGTTCCATCACCTCAGGATGCCGAGGTAATAGAACCTAGGGGGCAATTGTGGGGATATATTTTTGAGTACCGACACGTGGTAAGGTGATGCTGACGTGTCAGCCGAGATGCCATGTATCAGCGTCATAACGCCGAGGTTTTCTCCGAAGATATCGGAATCCGAGATAAGCGGATAAGAGATAAGAGATAAGAGTCCTAGAATAAAGAGGAGACTTAGCCAAGATAAGGATAAAACTTGTCACGACCCAAACCCGGCCCTATGGGTTTAGCACCGTAACCGGCCAGTAATCCGAGATTACCGAAGGCCTGCTTAACAGTAATACAGTAAAACAGAGTACAGGGCCTGGCGGAAGCCAATACAGTAAATAAATAATGTCCATTGAAGATGCACCGAAACACTCCCACCGAATTTATTGATTTCAAATTGTTTTGTATTAGCCGCAGCACCTCTTCAAAAAGAACTAAACAATATATATATTATATATGAAATTGATAGGCAAGCACTCTTTTTCCCAGAAATTCACTGCAGCCGCTGCGTGTGCTTCGGAGAAGGTGAAGAACAAACAATATATATATTAGTTATAATATATATGTTGTGAATTTTGGGTTTTTGTAATTAAACCTTAATTGTATCTAAATTGATTTGAGTCTTCACAAAATTAGATATAATATATAAAAATATATTATATCTAAACCAAACCAAATTAAAAATCTTTTTCTAAAATCAATTGGATCCCACACTCCAATAAGGAGTATACCCAACACACCACACAATAAAAAATTCAAGATCACTCTAAAGAACAATAGAGTGAAATTCTTGCATGCATTTCACCACTCAAATCAAAACAATAACATAAATAGAGTTGAATTAATCTTAGAATGAATTTCAAGAAAGAGAAAAGAAAAACCCAAATGCTGATAAAGAAAATAGGACTGTATTGAAGCTCTGACCTGTCCAGTAACCAAGACAACAGGGTCACCCATAATCTCTCTGGAAATTGGACACTTGAATTTTTCAGGAACAGCTATATAAGAAGCTGGTACCTTGCATTTCAATTCTTTCGAAGAAGATACGAATCTTATGGCCTCATTAGTCATCTCTATCTCCTTAACTTTGAGTTCTTTCAAAGAAGATAGGATTCTTATAGCCTCATCAGTTGGTTTTGTGTCGTAATCATCTTCATCAATAATGGGCTTTATCTGTCTCTCCAATTCTTTCTTTAACTCCGTGGCATTTTCTGCCTTGGGTGAACCAGTGTCCGAGTCTTCTGGGTTTTCCATGAAAGCAAATCTTGAAACAGAGAGCTATAATCGAAGAAGAAGAAGAAAGAAAAGAGAAATTCGAACAAAAATGATAGGGGCCTCAAAAATTCTACCAAAAGTTTTACCAAATGTCTCACATGGGTTGTGTGGGTCCACACCCATGTGAGACATTTGGTAAAACTTTTGGTAGAATATTTGGGGTCTCTAGCATTACTCAGCCTCCGTTTGGGAGGTGGGTTGGCTTTTTGGCTTTTTTGGCTATTTTAGCCTGGGTTAAAAAGCTTAGTTTGGAAAGGGCTTTTTGGCTTTTTTGATTTTTTTTGTGAGAGAAGAGTGTAATGATTATGGGTTGGATGTGATATTTTGTTTTTTGTGGCTAAAATAGCATATTTTGTCTTTTGTGGCTAAAATAGCCAAAAAAAACCCCAAACTCTTCTTGACAAACGAACCCTCAAATTCGAATTATGTTTGTGCTTGAGAAGAGAGGTAAATAAATGATAATTGAATGAGATTTAAGGAAATTTTGATTGACGCATATACCTCCCCTGTGTCTCTGTCGCATAATCTCTGTTGAGTCACAGGTGGGGTAGGGTAGGGTGAGCACTGTTACCAATCATTTATTGCCACGCAAGCAGTCACATGTTTTGAATTGAAAATGTTCATATTTTTCAGTGACATAATTTGATTGATATGCTACAATGAGTTTGTTAAAATAAAACATTTAGTTTAATTGAGAGAATTAATAATAAATGGGAAGAGTAAAAAATAATCACAAAATGTTGGTGAATCAAAACTAATTACAAACAACAAACTAAAGAGAGAGAAAAAAAAATTACTCATTCTTTTGGTTGAGTCAATTGTTGAATGGATTTGTGAAACAATCCCACATTTAAACTTGTCAACGATTCTTTATAACTTTATACTTTTCCTTTTATGTTAGTTGTTCCGTTAGTCCTTTTGCTAATAAGGGGTGTTTTGGGAACAACACAAAAAAGCTAGTTGCTTTTTAACTTTTTTATAAAAAAAAAAAAGTCACAAAAAAATTAATTTTTTAAACACAAAAAAACCAAAAAATCATAAAAAAAAAAATCAAAAAGTTAACTTTTTATCAACTTTCCAACACACCACTAAGTCTTTATAATTTATGTCTCAAATTTTTACATTTTAACCAGTACTCTTACCTTTAGAAACTAAATTATATCTTACTTGTTGACTTGTAATTTGATCATTCGAAAGTGGTGAGGAGCTGTAGAGTGATTAATTTATTCGTAACAACCATGAGCGCTTAGGAAATGAATTCATGAGAATTTCAACCATATATTTACGAATGTAGGTTACACTTTGGATACAAGGCATACAAGCAAATTGTTATATTATATATCTCTTCTTTTTTTTAAATTTTTTATTTATATATTGCCAGATTACATAATAAGACAATATTACTTTTATAAATTACTTAATAACATAAATGTCTATGTAAGAGGTGATATAAAATGGTGATATATGATATTTGTTGAAAATATAAATAATTAAAAAATGAATAGATGTTTCATATTAGAAAAAACTTCATTTTCCTATGCCTTTATAAAATCATTATTAACCTAATATTCTACACTTTTTAGCTCTAAAAAGCCCTCTAAGGCCTCTCGTAGGAAGGTAAGAAAAAGCCAAAAAGTTTATTGGCTTATTTGAATCTCATAATCTTTTTTTTTTTTTTTTTTTTTTTACATTTTTTTTTTTTT